TCAAATGAAAATTTAAATCAGGTCAGATTTTTGTTTGACTTGACCTGATCCTCTCAGTTCAGGTAACTTGATTGACCTGACCTAAACCGACCTGTTCAGAGCTCTAAGAATGACAAAAATGTTAATAAAATTACAAAAGACAAAAAATTGAAATCCCAAAACTTAATATTGCTCTTATAGCTACAGAAGTTTTAAATATTACTCAATCTACACTAGAAATTATGCAAACAGTCCTTATTACTCCTACAAAGGACTTTTTTTTTAAAGACTTAAAAGTCTACAAGATAGAAATAGATACTACTAAGAAAACTCTACTTTCCTTCTTACAAGACTCTAGTACAAATGATTTCATACATGCAAAAACCTTTATGAATGATAAAACTCCATTTTCATCTACTTCTACTATCGATAAAAAAAAAATAAACAACTTTCTTAGGCTAACCAAATAGAAAATAATGTGAATAAATCTAACCAATCACATAATCTCAATATGAAAAATACTTTTTTCAATATTATTATCTCTCTAACACATTTTTTTGCATCTGATGATATTGTGAATGTAATAGGCAATTTTATTACAGATAAGCGAAATTTTATCAACAGGCTTTTCATTAACTTTCTTAGCTATCAGGAAGTTTCATATAACTCTAAATTAAAAAAGTTTTTTATTTACTTTCAAACTATTAATCAACTCACACATGCGATTATAAAAGTTTAGGAGATGTAATACAACCCTGTATTGGTAATTGCTAATCCAACTACCAAGAAATAATGAATTAATGCTAAAAAATGAAAATGCATTAAAGTGAATGATATTCCCTTATTTATCAAATTAGATGTAGTATAAAATTTTTTCTAACAATGTGATATAATTGCTAGATTTTCTATGATTACCAAGGGCCTATGGCAAATTGCATTTATAGTATATTAATCACTTGATACTATTAAATCCTTTTATGATGACGTATGGTCTCTACTATTATTAGATTTCACAGTTTGCATTAAACCTACTAATCTTGATGACATGCTACTGATCTTGAGACAACAGTTTGAACTAAAATTAACTGGTTTACCATTCAATATAACTCAATGAGACTTATTTATCTTTCTCAATTCTATTAAAGTAAAATCATATTTTATCCTATGAGATCTCTAATACCATAATCGTTCTTATGCGTGTATTAACTTTAATAATCAAGATAATTATCTCAAATTTCAATATAAATTTAAATCAAATGTATTATTTTGGATTAATTCTACTACACCTTACTGTTGTAGATATAGTAATCCTGATCATGAAACTAAGGATTATACTCCTCAAAAGCCTTCAAATCCATATAGGTAATTATATGATCGCTTCAAACCAGCTACTTATAAACCTTCTCGAAAGCTCAATAGACATCTAAACAATTATATTGCAAATGTATAAATGAATCAAAATCATCAAAGGTCATATGCAAATGTTTTAAAATCTAATCCTCATAATTACAAATATCAGACGCAGAGTTCAGATATTTTTACAGCTCTCAAAGATATTCTGAAATGTTTAGACGAAATTAATAATAAATTGATTGCTCTCAATGATGAGATCATTATTGCAAAAAATGAGATTATTATCCTTCAAGAAAACTAAGAAGATATAGACTATCGCTTAACTAAACTTGAAAAATGTAACAACATAATCTATACTAAAGGAGTTTATGATAGTAAAATGGACTTTGATAAGCTCTCTGAACTTTATCTGAATCTTCATCTAATAGACCTTCTTCACATTCACTAAATCACATGTCTTCTCTAGACAAAGTTACCAGCTTAGAAAATCAGTTTGCTGATTTCTGATCTAAAATCAAAAATATCACTTATAACATCCAACAGATCCTTTAAACGCTTTCTTCTTCTTCTAAATGAATGTATATTTAACAAATAATAATATAGGATCTCATCAAACAAATCCTAATAATAATAATTTTTTTTCAAACGAATCTTTCACAAACATTATTAATAATCCAAATCCTATTTCCTTTGCAACTCATAACGTTAGAAATTATTCATCAGAATCTAAACTTTAAAACATTGACTCTTTTTTTAATAATTTAACATAGATATACTTGGTCTAAATGAAACTCATCTTAATTTATTACAAGCACATTATCTTAACAAAAACGTTCACAATAAGTCATTTAAATATTTCTTTCATTCTACAAATCACTCACAAAACTGTCAAGATGTCAGATTGATAATTCGTAACAATTTAAGCAAATATATCTTTAATCAAGCTTTTTTTTTGATTATATTATACACCATGATTTTTAATTTAAGAAAAATTCAAGCTTCAAATCATTCAAATTTATTTACCTGTATCCTACCATAACAAACAAGATTTTTACTATTGTCTTTAAGTCTAAAAGAACCTAATAAATATTTAATCAATAGTTTACGTCATAATTTTTATATAATATTAATGGAGACTTCAATATTAATATAAGTAGAAAATATAGATCCAAACTTCAAACACAGCTACAGAATTTTCTTCACAATATTATTAATCTTAGTTTTATTCATACACTTACCCCCTTTCAATTCACTTCCCCCTTACTTTTCATTTTTTCTCCTCCCATGATTTAACCTCTCACATAGATTATATATTTACTTTCACTAACTTGTCACATGATCTTACTTCCTTTCACATCCTAAATGACTCCTGTTTTTTATATTCAACTGATTATTATCCTTTATTAATCACTCTTTATAAGAAAATTTTTTCTCTTAATTATCTTTGGCATATCAAAAATAACATAAAATCATAAAATAATCCTTTCTTTATGATAAAACTACCTACATCTATTAGAACCTATTCTTAGATAAAGCTGACCTGCTTCTCAAACAAAATGCTAAATATAATGATATTTTAATCTAAGCTCTTTGTCTATCAAACAGCTCTATTAATGAAGCCTAAAAGTTCTTCACCTAAACAGTTATGATATCAGCTTCCAAACACATCCTAAAATAAACTACATTAACTCATCACAATTTTCTTTATTCATGTTTAAATTCCTCTATTTATAGACAAATTAACAAAATATGGAAGTTATATTACTGATGCCACTATCTTCATCTTTTTCAACATTAATTCTCTTAATTCCTTTCCTATATCTTTTACTGAGTACGATTATATTCTCAAAACTGCAGCTGAACATCTTATCTCCTTCAGCTCCATAGATGTACATTATAACAATAATTGCATCCTATTGTATTTGCATAAATTAAAGTATGATTTTTGAAACCTCTATAAGCAAAACAATTTATTATTAGTAAATCAGAAATAATAATCGTATACACAAATTCAATCAAAGATATATAGATAATTTTAAAGATGCTTTTACAAAAATGATAGACTCCTTTTTAGAAAAAATCGTAAGACTATTATTTTAGACAAAGTCTTGGTAGATTATAATATTCTGAATTATAAATGAGGGACAAAACTCTTAATAACAGTCAAAACTTAGATAAAACTATATTAAAATCATAATAAGGGATACGATGAAACTCATTCAATATGACAAAAGCTGAAACTGTCAAAATTATATTAAAAATATAGAAAAGAGTATGACGAAATTATTTTGAGAAGGTTTCAGCAGACATTTATACTCTAAATTAATATCTAACTCTCGATCCAGATGCCATCAAATTTCATACTGCTAAGTACTTTTAATCTATTGCTAGCTTTATAAATCAAACTGTGACTGATCTAAATACTAAAAACTTCTCCTCAAACTGGCCTAATTAGGAATGACACAACGATCCTATTGAAAAAATTCCTAATGATGTTTATGATAACCTCATAGATATTTTTCCAATAAATGAATAAAATAGTATTATTAAATACTTACTTGATCGAAAGCTTCAAGTCCTTCTAAAATTACTAATAAATTATTAAAAAAGCTAGGTCCAAAATGCAAAAACTTCCTTTACAATATTACAGTACGCGAAAAAAATAATTATAATAAAAATTTTATACAGAAAAACTTCAATTATTCCTGCAGTATACCTCTATTCAGCAAATAATTTTACCTGGTTACACGATATATATATTTATATAATGCTGATTATTATTTATTTACGTTTTATTTATGCTTTATCACGTTATCTTCATATCAACATAGCCTATAGTACTTTTGCATAATACCGTATAATGATAGCCACTTTATGGAAAAATAGTACCTATAACGCTAAAACTTTATACCCTTTAACCTCTATTTCACTTTTCACAATATACTACTATATCAGAAAACTCAAAAAAAACATTTCCTTAGAACCTTTATCTCAACCAGGAAGGCCAAAAAGACTTTCTCCTAAAAAACGTCATCACCTTGAAAAACTTGTTTCAGCAAACAAATTTTCTACATGTGCTGAACTGGCAAATATTTTAAACGAGAAGTATACCAACCTCGATATAAGTAAAAGAACTGTACTCAATGAACTTTACAGTCTTAATTATATTAGTACAGTTCCAAAATCCATACCTCTGCTCACTGCTCTTCATAAACAACGTCGTATTAAATTCGCCATGAAGTATCAAAATCAAAATTGGAACCAGGTCATTTTTTCAGATAAAACCACACTCCAGATATTTCAAAATACTTAAAAAGTATTTTATAAAGCTGACATACAACCTTCACAAAAACCTATGGTCAAACATCCATACAAAGTTTATACATGGGATGCTTTTTCAGTAAAAGGAATTGGATTTTTTCTTTTACTAGAATCATGGATGATGCATTTTATCGTAAAATTCTTACTGAGAATCTTTTTGATAATGTAATTCAATCATGGAAAAACGCTGGATGTTTCAACAGGACAATGATCTGAAGCATTCGGCTAAGAAAACTAAGAAACTACTTTCAGAACGTTGTCTAAGGCAGTTGGATTGACCTTCAAACAGTCCAGACTTCAATCCTATCGAGAATTTATGGCAAATTTTGAAGATACGTGTAGAACAATAGATTAACAAACTGGTAGTGAAAAAAAATTAATTACCATAGACGTTTTTCTTGATACAATTCAAAAAGAGTGGGAGGGAGTCGAACCAGAAATTTTTACTAATTTAATTAAAAGTATGTCATTAAGATTAGAGTAAATACAGTAGCGGTCATAAGTATCCGACCGCCTCTAACTCCGGCTACAAGTAAATAAATTCAAAAATTTTTTTTTTATTTAAAAAATACATAACCAACTAACTAAAATTAATACATTGTGTAGTCACCATCTGACTCTA